TTTTGAGCAACATTCCTAAAGCATGTATAAAATACTCCCATGAAGCATTGCTTCTGGTATAAACCTAGCCTAATTTCTGCTGTTAATATTTTTTCATTCAGTCATACACAGCGTGCCGCAGGTTAGTTTCACTAAGTTAGCCTAAGGCAAAAATATAGGCAAATACTTCTTAATTACAGAAGTATTAAACAGTATTAAAGTAAGTGTTTATATTAAGCCCACCTCCCCTTTGGGTTTATTGTGGTGGTAAGGCACCCAATCACTGTGGTGGAGAATTCCACCACAACAGCGCTTGCAATAACAGCATTGAGAAATCATGTTATTAAGAGTACATTAAACTGCAGAAACAGCTGCTTTCTTTGCGTAGACATTAAAGGGCTCTTGTTTTTATCTAATTTTCTTCTTGGAAAGACTAATAAAAACAGGAAAGATGTCTATTTTTTACAGTTCTATCAGTAGCCAAAATATGCAGATGAAGCTTTAGTTCGGTTACACACATGGGAACAGACTCCAAAAAAGAGACAAAGATTCTTTAGCTTGATCAAATCAGCACGGCGAGAGAGAGCGCTCCTCTTCAGAGATCAAAGCGCTAAAGTGGAGCGCTGAAGCTGCCAGCGAGTCACATGCCAGGCAGCAGTACAGAGCGCTGGCACGAACTCATAATGAGGCATTCATGAAAACACCACATAGGCTACATTATGTAAAAACCATGTCCCTAACGTCCCAGAACTCATCAAAAAAGTGCCCAAACACTGCCAAGAGACATTAATGACCAGTAACGTGGATAATGAGGAAGGCAACACAGCCGTATCAAAAGAACAGCCCGGACGCTACAAAATAAATAACGACTTAGTTAAGCAACACATGATCTTTTCTGTTTAATTTCTGTGGCCTTTCTTCAAAAGGCGTGTTGAAAAAGCGTCTCTGATGAAATTTAAGTCGAACCAAAACACACTGCTTAAACATTTGAAGGCACTCAAAAGGACAGGAGCAGGATGGAGTCAGCTGCAGAAGCCGCTGTAGAAGCGCTATGTGGGATGAAACCAGGCTGTGATGGACGTCCTGCGGGGCCGGCGCACTCTGACCCTGCAGAGAAGCGCTCTCACATCCCTGCTTTTCTCCACAGTAGAACCACTACCGTCGCTTACTGCAAGAAAAACAAGCTTTCTGCCTTTGAGCCGAGCGCCAAGTCAAAGCTGCCTCCCCTCTCGCTCACTGTGTGGCCTGTTTTCCTTCAAACATGTTTTATTACCACAGCCATCGCATGCAGGAGACTGTCCGAGCAGACTCCAAAAAACAGGGGGTTATGAGTAGAGCACTTGTGCATGGTAATCCGCAAATGACTTTCTATGGTGTGCTGTGGTAACAGTACAGAGCATCGAACCTGTATTTACGCCTGTCACGATCATGAAATTTTAGCTGGCAACTGATTGCCATATAAATAATCTGACTGACAATTCAATTGTGTTGTTTTGTTCCATGTACTCAGCTATTGAAGCTCAAGCCTAAAGTGGCTTAAACTGGCTGATTAGCTGTCTTGCTTCCCAGCTGTCGATACTCCCAACTATCCACAGACGCAGCTAAAGCTCACATAAACAAACATTACCCATAAGTCAGAAGTTAGAACTTTTAATTTAAACTTTAACTTTCAATAATATTAATTTTAATATTAACATTAACTTATATTAAAGAAACAAATAATGTCTACACATGTCTTTACAGTCTCCATTTTGGAGATACTTGGTTTTCCCTGGACAGCAACAATATCCAATTCACATTGTTTGTTTTAGCATGAACATATGATTTTGAAAGCTAATTATCAGGCGATTATGTAATAATTGTGAAAGGCCTACCTAAACTACCCACAATGCTGAATAGGAGTGTATATCTCTGACTTCATAATGAATTGATTCTAGAGCTGCCCTGAATAATTCTCAAGTACTTGTTTGTTACATTGGTATTCAGTTCTCTATTTATTATTATGAAGCTTTGCCTTTTATTAATCCACAAAAATTATAGCCCAAAATAAATTGCAGCACCAAATGCCTTTAAAATAATAGTGATTGTTAATATATGGAACATGTTAAAGATAAATTATAGCTGGCTTACTTGTTTGTCATTTTTTCCTCAGAAAGAAATCACATGTGTGGGAGCCATTTAAATTATCATATAGTGTTCTGTGCAGAATTTATGATAAGAGGACTGTATACCATGGAGAGTTTGATGAATCATCTCAAATATTTAAGTAAAGTGATTCTTATTTGAGTACTGTCATGCGTCCAGTCTACATTGCCTCTGACTCAGCTCCATCATGTAACCACCACAAGTGGAAATATTAGGATTTTTTTCTTCTTTTCTTTTCTAACTTTCTGAATAGTTTAAAAGTGGGTTTAAAACTTAACAGCACGAACCAGAGATTTGTTTATAACGGCAAAAGATGTTACTGCTGTATCAGGGAAGAGTCTCTCCTGCACAGCATTAGTACAGCACAGGAGCTGCTCTAAAACTACCACACCAACAAGATCATCACATTTAAGTAAACTATGATTTTAAATATAGTTTACAATCCTACAGAAAGTAGTGTCATTGACTGGATCTCTAAGGAGTCTTTGCTTCACTTGCACCCAAGTGGGAAAAAAAAAACACGACAGGTTGTAAAGGCTGGTGTTTTGATGGATGTAAGAAACGTGTGTAACACACCCAGTGTGGACACTGGGTGTGTTACACACGTTTTAAATGGAAGCACTGATTTAAATGATTTAAGTGTTTCTGTTACGTCAGATAGAAAAAAAAAATCTTCAAATTATTATTGTTAAAATTTCACCATTATTCAGTTTGATTAGTTGATTTTGGTATGACTCAGGTTCTTTTTTTAAAATAATGATTCATTTTCATTATTATTCCTTGGGAGATAATTTGTGGATAATGATTTCACAAATTTATCACGATTTCATTTGTTTTGATTATTTGGGTCTGATTCAGGAATATTGTTAGGGACTATTCACAGTAGTAGAATACAAACAATACAAATAAAACCAGTTTTTAAATTTATTTTACATTTGGAAAAAAGCATATAAATTTTAATTTGACCAAAATATAAGTGCATACTTTACTGAACATTATAAGTGATTATAACTAATTCTAATTTTTGAAATATAGTCCAATCACCACCTCCACACTGATTCATCATGATGCACTGATGCATCTTTACATCCCTAGTGTTGAAACTTTCTCTAGTTGGGCATTTAGTGGTTTTACACACGTCTTGCACGAGCAATGATACATGATCCTGATTTGTGCTTGGTGTGCTCTCACTGTGTGAGGAGGATGTGTAAGGCAGGTGTGCTGGATTACTCCCTGTGGAGACAGCACAGACAGGAAAATCAGCGCTCATGGTGCAGGATGCAAAAGCCATTCAGGACAGGAACAATGAGGTCTATACCCGCCCTTAACACCATGAGCCTACTGTAAATGCAAATGCTGTTTTTACTCTACTTTTATCATTTTTTGAAATGCTTTGTGACAGGGTCTTATAGGAGGCTGGAATGTGGGAGCTTCTAAGTTACCCTCACTCTCCCTGTCAAATAAACAGATTAATAAACCCTTGGGTCTATGTGCCTGAACTTAAATCTCTCAACACATGCAGTGTTTTCCATTAACGTTGAGGCCAGGCTGAAATTGATTGTGAACGGTGGCCTTAAGGGATCTAACCTGTCAGTGTTCACAGTCATTCAAAGAGGATCAACCAAAGCTTTTACGGACATTTTACTGACACAGAACATCTGGCATATGTGTTGTGTGCTACAGTCTTCACAGTCCATCCATTTCAGAATGCTGGTCTCGTTCAGTCAAGTTTAATCTGTTATGTTTCAAACACTACAGGCTCATTAGAACTGGCTGTTCAAAAACATAACAGAATTCCCCTTGATTGTCCGTTAAAGTGACGGTTTGACCAAAAACAAAATGTACATAGTTCTGCCCTTGTCCCAAATATAGTCAATTAGCATGCCAATATGCTCAAGATGACATAAATTGTTTTTTAAATGACACTGTACTGACACATGTGGACATTTGTTCCATTTGTAACATTGTTATGAAGCATCATTCACAAGAAATGGAAAGCAGAGGCCTGGTTAAGTGCACCGCATCTGTTCTTAGAAAAAAAATTTAATATACTTAAGTATCAAAAGTAAATGCACTGTGACTTATTACACTTTTCTTTGGACGTAGACACAAACATGAAAAACAGAGTCAGCCATGTCTTCTTTTTCTATTTCACCAAGTAGAAACACACAGAACTGATATATGGTGTTCTTAGCTAGCCTTCTGCCTTAAATGCTCTATTACTTGCAAGTGATGCTTCACAACAGTGTTATAAAGGGAAGAAATGTTGGTCACTTTAGTGTAAGGGCCCTTATATCAATACATGTCATTTACTTCATAAAACCTCTTGTGTCGTCTTGTGTCCAGCTGGCAATAGCTGTTCATAAATACTCAAGAATTGCTTAACGAATACATGATACAGTGTGTAGTTCCTGCATGAGTAACGTTCAAATGAAGTGTTTGCCAGACTTTTGCAAGCAGTTGCCTGTTCTGCATTTCGTGACAAGAGTGAGTGATCACATCTTTTAACGTTATGCAGGAGTTTTCTTTATAGCATTTAGTAGCTCTTAAGTAAGAGCTACTTGTGTTTTTGCAGATAAATACCAATTTGTTGCATCCGAGTGTGTTTTTCTTGCAGCCTCATTTTAAGAATCTGCCCTACAATTCACAAAAATAACAGTCTGTGGTTGGTCATGTTCTGTGTCAGTCAAATTGTCGCTGATCATGTTGAGCAACGAAACACACCAGACTCTCTGACAACAGGCAGAATTCTGGCTTGCAAGACTACATTTGGGGTAAGGGGAAAACTGTATACATTTGACTTCTGACCGTATCAACGCTTTAAGGAAGGTATTAAGAAATTCATTCCATATAACCACAGTAAGCCCAGGACTCACCTGAGAGGACCACCTCAATCAGATCCCCCTCATGGATGTCTTCGGCTGATGTGAGTCGCTGCAGAATATTGTCAGAGTTAAGATCATGGCGGAAGAGCAGGATCTTGTCGTACATGCCAAAGAATCCACATTCTGGGAACTGCGGGCAGAAAAAAGGAGTTTGTTAATAATATCAATCTTCGTAACCAGAACAAGGAAGATGCTCAGATGTTCTAACCCACACAGCAAGCACTTCCAGTGAACTCTTGCAAGAGGGAAATTTTAGAAAAATAACAGAGATCTCTCTTTTTTTAAGAGTTTAGAAGCATTAGGAAGTATCTGAAAATACATGCGCATGTATTGGTTATGTACTGATTCTGGTTATGATTTTCTTGTGAATTCTACTACATATATAGTTCCACTTCCTCAAATTTATGACATGGTATGAAATCCATATGTAAAGTAGTTTATTATGATTTCAAGAGTCATTATGACAGAAATTGGTGAGGATGACAGCAACACATACACTGCACTGTTTTTGTGGAACAGCTCCCCTCACAAGAGATTACCCAAGCTAGGAGGCATGCAGAGCAGAGGGCCGGGTGTTAAATACCCAGAATATTCGCCTAGCGAGGAGAAGGGCTGAAAAACATCTGTTGAAAGCGAGCCCACAGCGATGAGTCACCCCACTGTTCACCACTTCCTCAGGCTACACTTCTCTGTCCTCCTAACAGACCGCGCACAACTGATCGACAGCACCTATGGCCACACGCTTCTAGTACATATGCAGTAAAGTTCGCACTGTAACTAGGTTTAATGCTCTATCACGTACACACCACTGGTCATTTTATTACGTTGCTTGATTCATTGGGATCACACATTAGGTAGTAAAAATAAAAACACAGAAATTTTCTTTAACCAAATGAACCTGACAGGTCCAGTACTAGGCCCTCGTTTGAATTTGCCAGAGGAGTCAAGCCTCATGCACGTCACAGTTTGCAACAGTAAAATAATTGTGTTAATTGTTTTACTATATAAAATACACACAAAGCTTTCTGTCTTGGTGGATGCACACTGTGAGTGCTCTGAGTGAGAGCATGAGCTTGATCATAGTACATTTTAGTTCAGTAAGCATAACAACAGAGTGAATAATGTGTGATTTATATTCCTATTCATGTATTTTCTTGTTCAAAATGGTAGTTTGTTACACACACTGAATAAAAATGTGGCTTGTAAGATCACATTCTTTACAAATTAAAAGCATACAACAGCACACAGAAATTGCATTAACAGAAACGAGTAGACAAAATGCAGAATTAGCCTTTTTAAAGAAGCTTTTTGAGGGTTAATACAGTGAGATTTAACCAGGGATGTTCCAATCCCATCTGAAACATTGGTATCAGAAGTGATAAAGGCATATTATAATATATCTGGATTCTAATGTTGTATAGTGTTTTTACAAGCAGAAACACACTGACTACTGTTATACAAACTGTTTTAGAGACAGTATTATATATATACATATATATATATATATATATATATATATATATATATATATATGTCAACCCACAAGGTTCACCCATATAAAATGTTTTTTTTGACCACAGTTTTGGAGGTATCTATTCTAACATGCTGTTGCCCATGCTCTTTGGACAACTAAAAGCCTACCAAGTCACACCCAGATATGCTTTTCCCTTTATGTTTTATCACACATACAAATGTGCTCAGACTGTGGGTGGTGGCATGAAATGAAGATGCATTAGCAATGATACATTTACTCCTTGATCTCAAAAGACATGTTTTGATGTCAGCTCATTGCGAAACACAACCTGACACTCTCTCTCCCTCACTCTCTCTGACTGCCTTTGATTATATTTGTATATTTAACTATATAAGTGAGACTTTTTTTGCTTTCAAATAGGGTAAAAATAAAATTTCTGATTACGTAATAATAATTAGTATGATTACCTGTGAATATGAGTGTTAGTCTCTAGACACTGACACCTATGGGTACATCCATGGTGAATACTTGTTAATATACTACATAAGCTGTTTACATTAAGATTCATATGTCATGTGCTTTGCCCTGCTCTGAACTGTGCTGTCATACCACATCCACAGTCACTTCTCTAGTGTTTTTGTTGCTAAGATGAGGGTGAATGTGGGGCAGAGCACGTAAAACAGATCATAAACTTCTTAGAACAGAGCAGAAAGAGAATCAACTGCCTTGCGATCCCTGCCAGGATATGACCACAACCACTGATACTGAGTCACTTCCTCTTCCCAAGAGTCACCAGAGATCCCACCTGTCAGAAGAAGCAGACAGCCTTACACAACACAAACATGAACCGAAACAGCCCTCAGGTTTCAGAGAACCGCATCGGCTTTTTTTTCTCCCATTCCTCAAAAACACTAATAGTAATGCTGTGGCTTATGGGTGAAGAATCTTTGAAACAATACTGTGTGATGAAGAGTTCAGTAGTCTAAAATGATATTCGGGTAAAAGAACTATTCAATAGTTCAGATGCGAACAAAGTCAGTCAGAGTGGTTTGATGTGAAATGGTGCACTGTGAAGAAACTTACTGACTGAATTTCTTTACAGTGGTGGTGTTAGAAACTGGGGTCACGATGTTTACAACTCAAATATAGTCATTTTATTGATGGTCCAAAATATAAAAAAACTGAAATTGAAATTATTTAAAATGTAATGTCAAGTGGTTCCACACTGTGGTAAGTAGCTTCTAAGATACTTCACTGAGTAATACAAACTCAATGAATTCAAGTAAATCACACACAAGTGACTGGACTGATGTTCTTATGCATTGCTACATTCAACTTAATATGGTTAAGTTCAACTAATGAAAGTAGAAAAAAGCAAGTTATGATTTAAGTTACATCTGTGTAATTCACTTGCATTGTTACTGTATTACTCAGCAGTTGTGGGAACGTGCTCAGCAGCAGGGCCAGACCCGAGTCATCTAGTTATCAGCCCTTGGGTGCAAATGAATGGTGGGCTACTTTTTTGGATGGTTAGGGATTTTTTGCAATCTTCACATGAAGATTATGCAGCACCAAAGTGGCATCAGTGTTGGGCACATTACTGCTACAAGCATATATGTTTTTCTTTCCAGTCGAAACAAAACAATAGCAAGGTTACACCCTCATAACAAGAACACAGGTTAAACAACATTTCCTTATACAGCATGCGTCCAGTCTTGACAAGTAAACATTTACTCCAATAAAGACGACAAAATAAAATCGGACAGCTGAAATGTACATAATCTTTTGAATATCCGGAGTTTCATACTCAAAGTACTTTCTATCTCACTACTAAAAAACTGAAAACTTGACTGAAGTAATGCTAAGCAGTGATTGGAGGAGAAAATAAAGTGGACACTAAAGAAAGATGTGGAGAGCACCGGGATTATTATTATCAGCCATATCACAATGGCAAATTTGAAATTAGTTTAGTTTTGACATTGTGCTACTACTAAAGTTCCCAACACAAGTCAAAACAGCTGTTTTGATTTTCTCATAATTGCTCGCGGGGTCCTTGTACTGGCCCAAGCCCCAATGATCCTGATCCTCGGATGATCCTAGCCTGAGCAGGGCATATCGTAAGTCCCTCTTACAGCCAACAACTATCTAACTAAATCTAGACAGTTCTAATAGAGTATAAGAAAGATGCATAAACAATGAAAAGTAAGGAGGAAGACAAATTGATAAGGGTGAATAAAACAAGTCAATCAATATGCAAATAGATGGTGGCAGAAGTGAATGAGAAAGATGAGTTTCACTGAACAAGGTTGCATTGACAAACATTTATCAAGTAAAACAGGATAACTCACTGTATTTGAGTTGTCAGATTTACTTGATAAATCTGAATGACAGTGTTTATATCTTAAAAATTAGTAGAATTCTCTGGTTGTGAGATGCCCATTTTCTCTTACTCTTTGCCCATTTTCTCTTACTCTTAACAGTACTAATATACTGTTCAAATGGTCATGCTTAACCCCAAGCTTTTTGTTCGGTTATTAATCTTAAGAAACAGCCAAAGAAAAACAAGTATCTCCAATTTTCACACAATGTAATGGGCAGCTTTTGGGACAGTGATGAAATTTACCTATATTGACAGCGACAAAGTTATGTAGCTATAAAAGTGAAGGGTGGGCCCACACATCAGTTAATTGAGAGAGATTCTTTCAACACATGCATACTTGAGTATAAGTACAAAGCAAAATTGACTAAAAGACTAAGTTAACTTAAATATGTGTTAAGCGTAAGTGAGACAGCGTAGCTAGATGCTGCTGCCTACTCCTGGTGGTAAACTACAATACTTTTCAAAGTTCAGCATTTTAAGTCAAATGCAAAAAAAGATCTCGACATCGAGGATTTATACTGATTTATACTTAATACAGCAGTTTGACTATTTACCTGCCCAAGGTGATATCATTGACATATCACCATCCCACCCCACTTCCCCCACACACATACGCACACTACCTACTGTTCCTCAGTCTGTCTGTGAAATCTTTTCTCACAAATCACAATCACTACCTTCAGTGTCCAGTAAGCTGATTTTTTGCTCTTCATGTGCAGGGCTGAATATTCGGATCGCGAGTTTGAAAGCATACAGGGAGGAAGAGAGGCAGAGAGAGGAATGTATGGACGACTGTGTTGATCAAAGCCGGACCCTGATGAAGGATCCTGACAGGGCACGCCATGCTACCAACAAACAGGTCTGGAAAATCCGTCAGCCACAGCTGTTTCCCTGCTGAGTCCCCACACACAATGCGCTGTGAACAATACTGCCCGTAATGCCAGGGCCAATGAGACTCACGGGCACAAGCACTGGCAGCACCCCAATGTCACCTGCACTGAATGACCACAGCTCAGCTGGGTGCTGACACAAGAGCAGGGCAGGTCACCGGAGGAACTGTGTCAGAATCCACAATTCACTACGCCTTACAGTAGGAGCATAACAATACACAAGTTTCACAATTACAAAGCAAAAAAAGCCAGCATTCATTTTGCTTATATATTTTTGTCCAACTGCCAAAACAAACCTACATGTAGTTTTAATAGAGATCAAATAAATAAAACAAAAGACATAACTAGTCAAATCTAGTCAAATTACAAGTTTTGCTGATATAAGG